ATTTTCAAAAATTAATATCTCGTTAACGATTGCGAATTTTGCAAAATGATAGAGGACTTTTCGATCCAGTTTAATCTGCTCTACCAGCCCACGAGATATTATCCGGTTATTACCGGACACCCTGTATATAGCTCTTTTGTTCTGTGAACTTATTGTCGTTCTTTAAGAAACCGTGTAATTTTTCAGTTTTAAGAAATCGTGGATTCTTCAGTTTCAAACTTTCACCAGTAGGATTTTACTTTTCAAAGTCCGTTGGTACGCAAAATCTCTTACGTGCGAAAAAAATTACAATTCAGGCATTACTTGTATCGATCGACGTATCTAATCGTGTAACGAGATATCGCTATTTCGCGTTTGTATTTTATTACCGTAAGATTCTGTCGCGCAAGAAGCTATTGCCGAATCAATGTATTTACAAAAACGGAACATTCGACTGTCAGAACGCGCGAAGATTTTACTTATGAGGTTGAGACATGAAGAGTAAGATTCGTTTACGCAGCTGTTGGGATATTAGTAGTTACAGTAAAATACGCGGGTTTCAATTCAATTGAAAAAAAAAGATTATGTTAAACTTCTCTCACTCTCTCTCTTTCTCTCTCTCATAAGTACGTTCCCACATATCTTTTACGAGAACGTTTTACATAGTATCAGGATGAATTATGAAAACCTGAGAAAAATGTACTCAGCGTATCTATTATTTTGCAGCTTAAAAAAAAAGGAATATAAAAGTATAAATATAAAGAGAATATATTTTTAGATAAAACATTTTTTGGATCTGTATATTAATATCTCGTAAGATACGTCCAAGAGCGTCTGCAGGATTTTTTCTAGAGGGAAGTATGATCCAAATTTTTAGTACGAGCTAACGCGAGGAGTAAATGTCCGAGCGTTGTGTATATGTGTTGTACTTTAGCTCTCTCACATTTAACAAACATATTTATTTTTAAAATGAGAAGTAAAAATGAGAGAGCAAATTAAAAATTTTTTTGTACTCGTCTAATTTCAAAGGGGGGAGAAGGGGCAAATGTCCCTTTTTCTCTCCCTTGCAAACGGATACGTTATATACATATATCGAAATG